AATGAGGGATTAATAGGCCTTGATTCTTTATTGATGTAAAATCAATAAGAGTTATAAAATAAATTTATTCCTTATTTCATATATAAAAATAATAATTTTTGGTATAATTAAAAAGGGACTGATTTGATTCTTGTATTGCGCATTAAATATAAAAATATTGTAATTTTTTTTTGTTGATGTTTGTTTGTTGCAATTTTTTTGGTTGCTTTCAGTGAAAATATAAATAAAAGTTTTCTAAAATCAATGGTCTGACTTATCAAAGCCTCTAATTTTTAATGTGTTTTCTATAATTCATATTAACGATTTCTCCAATTTTTCCCTAAACTCTCTATTAAGTTGACCATATTAAATAAATATTTTGCATACAAGACTATAATATATATTAGACTCTTTATTAAATATAGTATTTGCTTCACCAATAAAAAAACGTGAATATTACAATGATTGTTGTTTATATAAATATTTAGAATTTTAACATAATAAATTAAACATTTTGTAGTATAAAAAAAAATTCGTGGTTAAATTTTTATATTATAATGTAAATTTTATATTAATAAATACCCCATCAAAAATTATATCTCAAGTATAAAATAGTATAAAAAGAGTATTATGTGAGAATAATATCTTTCTTTTTTTAATTAACTATCACTTTTAAAAAAATATATACCTTAATTATTCATTTAGCTGTCCATTTTATAATTTTTTTCATTTTTGCAACTTTTATTCTCACAAATTTTCATTTTCATTTTAATGGTCATTATGATTATAATAATACACATTTTAATAATTATAATACACAAATATTAAAAACAAAATTAAATGTATTATTAATTACTATATACAAAAATTAATAATTACTATATAACAAAAATTAAAAACAAACCGATTGAAATAAGAATGAAAATATTTGATATTTTATATACTTTACTATTTAATAAAAACTGATTTGATTGAATTATATTTTAATAATTTATTAATAATTTATAATACTCAATTTTATTTATTCATAGTAGCTTTCAGAATGCCACTTTCGTACCCATATATTAGATTTTTTAATGTGTTGGTTAAAATTTTAACAGTAAATTTATATTAAATATTTTTTACATAATAAGATGGGTTGTGATCTCAAACGATCAAAATTTGAGATGAGTCAAAGACGAACGTCTGTGATGTTGAATGTAAAAGAGGAGGAGGGGGTGTACCTGCAAGACACTCCGATGTTAAAGTAAGAAAACGAGAAAGAGAGCGAACAAGTACAGAATATGTATTTCTAGGTAAGAAATTGGATACCTGTTTCTCAAGGAATAGGTAACTGCCAGAAATAATGCCCCCAGTGCTTGGGCATTGGTCCTTATTTTCGGGGCGAGATAACCGTTTCTCAAAGAATAAGTAACTGCCAGAAATAGCCGTTGAGACAGACAGACGTGTCCATAACTAGTCGTTGTGACGGACAAGGATACAATCACGGGCACAAGCGTCTTGGCAGTTTCTGGATGGTGGAACCGTGCATGACGGGCAAAGACTGACGGGGAGAAGTGTTGTGACCAGGGGTAAATAGGTCAGTTTCCCCTGTTAGAGGGGCAGAAAGGTAAACTCTCCCCCAACGAGATTGGACTTAGGCAATTAGGTTGTTATGGGAGCAGAAGTGGATTGGGCCATGCCGAGCCATTGGGCCAGTCCGGAACAGTAGCCCCCAAGTCGTTGCTACCGAGCATGGTAGTGACGACTTAAGGAAGGTCTGTTTCCCGGGCAGAATCGTCGTATGTTTCATCGTGTTCGGATGAACCCTTTCCCACAGGCGTTGGTGTTGGGGATCTCGAGATTCGGGGAGTCCAACGGTTAATGGGATCTGAAGAGTGGGGATGTCACGTGTGCCTCGAGTCGTGTGTTGTATTAAATACATGATGATGGCTAGGCTAGGGTCATGATGATGCCCTACGCGCCCGTGCTCGCGCACGTGCCTGGAGCTTGCTTATAAATAGTGAAAGAGTCTGTTCATTCAGAACTTTTACTTCCTTCTTCTATTGTGCCCGTTTCTGCAACTGTCGTCCGCTGTCGTCAACCTTGCTCCGACCACCGTACGATGCCCGACCAGAACCGTCCTCCTTCCAGTTCCTCTTCCTCGACCGCGTAAGTGCATCAATCCTTTGCTTGTTCTCTATTTTTCCTTGTTTAAATGCCTTAAATTGCATGTGGTTAGGACTAAAACCTCTTAGTTATGGCATGTTTGATGGTGGTTGTTGGTGGTAGACGGTGGCGCGGCCATCTGTTTTCCGCCGGCGGCGTAGTTGGCCCTTTTAGGAAGGGTAAGTTACAAACCCTTAAGTTCAGATAATTCGTAGTTGCTCGTTGATAGGTTACCATGATTTCTGGTTCAAACCCCTGTGAGGCCACTAGGTTTTGTGACCGGGGGGCTATCCCCGGATGCTTTAGGTAAAACTGTCGGGCACCTTCCCCGTTTGTTTAGCTGCGCCATTTTAGTAGGGCTTAGGTCGATGATGCTCTTGTTTGGACCTTTGCGGGCCCTTTCACTTGACTAGCAGTGGAAGGGTGGATTTGATTTGGGCGTCGAATTCACTGTTTTCCTCTGCTTTTCAGATAAAAGGGATGTTGCGCAAGGAAGAAGAAGAGCGTCTCAGGGATTCATCTGAGGACAACTCCTCAGAGAGTACAGATACAGATGATAGTTCCTCGACGCCTGAGGTTGTGGGAACGTCAACGGCGTTGTCGCTGGTGGACGAGTGGACCGTGGCCGAACCCATGGAACACGCGCCTATCTTCGCCTCTTACACTGGGGACGCCTTCACGATGGTGGGACCTGAGGGAGAGTGGAAGGTGCACTTCCCTTCTAAAGAAGATCCCATTTGCTCGGCATACGGGGAGCATTTCCCTATGTATGAATACGTCTTCAAGGAGATAGGGTTAAGGTTTCCTTTTACTAACTTTCAATGTGATGTCTTCATCCATCTCGATCTGGCGCCTTCTCAGCTGCACATGAATTCTCTTGCCTTCATGCGGGCATATGAACTGATATGCGAGCATCTGTAGATCGGGGTCACCGTTCCTCTTTCTTCACTATTTTCCACCTTCAACGAAAGGTGTCGGGGAAGAGGTTTGGCTGGGTTTCCTTGAAGCAATGGAGGAAGTTGTTCAAACCTTTCTCCGAATCCATCTGGATGTTTAAGGAGAGGTTTTATGTGATCGAGCCGGTGTCGAAGGTGGCCACTGATTCGACTTTTGTATGGGAAGTCTCCACGGATGAGAACGGGGAGGACTTGTTAGATGAGAAGGGCAAGATAGTTTCTTGGAGGCTTTTCACCTTTCCTTTTTGTTGGAGAGGGGCTCATTTTACCCGCCCGACCGACGAGTACATAGTTGCCCCTCACCAACTGGTGAAAGATGATAAAGCCAGCTATGCCAAGTTGGTGGCTTACGTGGATAGTTTCCTTCCTGCCTAGTGTGTGACTCGTGTCGGGAAACTTTTGTATGAGGACGACAGTGGGGTGCAGGTGGAAGCCCGACACATCAACACAAAGGAGCTCCTTGAGTGCTGAACTCGCGAGGAGGCTCTTAAACTCTTGGGTAGTTGTCGCTTCTTTCATATTCTTCCCGAAATCTTTATTTCTCAGAGCTTATGTGTCTATTATTTTGCAGGTAAAATGCCTTCAGCGTAGGAATGGATGATGAAGCATGCTCAGGGGAAGATGAATAGTGGTGCTGCCCGGGGCAAGAGTTTTCTCGGTCAGTGAACGGTTACTCCTGCATCTGGTTCGGGGACATCATCTTCTACTCTTCCTCCCACCCAGACATCACCTCTGCCCATAAGCTCTAGGGCCAAACGTCCTCGGGAAAACGAGGTTGTGAACCTTAGTCGGGAGTCTGCTAAGAGTAAGTATGAGTTTCCCCTTACTTTCTTGATAGGAAATTTTTCGAGGGGGCCTCTCTATCCGTTCCTCGGGTGGAGTCTCTGAGGCTCGAGGAAATGGATCGTCCTGCCAAGCGGGTCAGTCTTGCCCAGGATGCCTCCACCTTAATGAGGGTCCTGGAGATGGTTGTGGTCTATGTCGAGGAAAGCTCCCCGCTGGAGTTGGAGTTGAAGAGATTCCAGGCCACGGTGGCGGCTCTAAAAGAAAAGGTCAAAAAGCTCCATGGCAACCTGAAACTTGGAACTTATATTGAAAGGGTAAATACTAAAAATATTTTTGAAAATATTAATTTTTTTAATACTAAAATAGAAATCAAATATTTTTAATTTTATTATAAGTCAAAATATATTACTTTTTAAAAATTATAGGAATACTCGTTCACAATATTTCAATTTATGTTTTTGTTTCTCTCTAAATGGAATTATTTCGAATTGTAGCAAAAATGACCCAATAAAAAAATTCTTTCAAATGGCTTTTTCTACACTCCTTTTTAAATATTAATTAATTAAATATTACATTATGTTATTGTGGCACCATAATAAATTACAAATGATACACGAAAAATATATGATTTATAGCATAAAAATTACATTTTTGGGATCTGTTTCTTGAAAAAAAATCATAAAAAATAGACCTAATATTTTTAGTATGGGTCAAAATTTTAAGAAACTGGATTTATTTTGGACACGTTCTCTTCTTTTATGCACCCTTCTTTGATAGTGGATCCTTTGCTTGAACCTCCCTTTGACTTAGAAAATCACAAGTCTGAGAATTAGTCTATCGTTTAATTATTCTATTTAGTGAGGCCAAAAGTAAAAACTCTATACTCTTTGATTATTGGTGGAAGAAAATTCAAATCGCAGGAAAACTTCTAACACGGTCCCTTCGTTGCTCTGGAAAATTATTTTATTTGAAGTATTGGTTAAATATATTTGTCATCGTTATAAAGATTACCGAAATTTAAATTATAACTATTATAATCTCATATTAAAATAAAACAAATTTCCCAATAATTACTAAAATATAGATTCTTGTCCATATTTATTTATTGTGGCCCTCAGGCCTCATCACCTTCTAAGATGAAAACAGTCTAGAAAACAAGTATCCATGGCAACCTTGCACAGTATCTAGAAGAGGCATAGTTTGACAAGCATCCTCAACTTCACGATTCATCCATTTTTCTAATATAACTTCAGCAATAGGAGCAACTTGATGCTGCAACAATGCTGCTCCAAGGGGTCCTATCAAGTTCAGTCTTGTAGCAGCAGATATCACATCCCTCATTGTGATGAACATATAAGCTCTCTGAGAACTCGTACTATCGAATCCCAATGCTCCACATGTTAGTCCGAATATAGGAGCGTGATGAAAAGTTACAGTCCCTAACTTTAATGAAGTGTCTCTCATTGTTTTGAGAGAGGGCATCTCAGAAAACACAGCTGAAGCTACCCTCATTAACGCAGATCCTTGCGAGATTGACGCCTTTCGACCCACTTCGTTGGTAAGGGTAGCATCTAATATTCTGTCGAGGTTATGCCAGTTTTCCATATTCGGTGACGTGCAAGCTGAATACACGAAAGGAAGGAATAAGCTTCCTGTGTTCTCTAATACATGAATAAGAAATGTCTTGAGGTCATTGGAATCAGACACTATGCGTGACTGAACTGCGGCTTCAAGACCAAAAGAATGAGCAAATCCACCTGTAGGTAGAATCGAATCCAACAACTGCCATTGACTCCATTGTAAATATGAGTTTTCAAAGACAGGTTGGCCGTGCTCTTCCTTCGTTTGCATAATGAAATATGTGATATTTCTCCAAAGTTGACCAGGAGTGCCGGATTACTACAGGTGCCTATAAACCAGATTTACACATTCAAATTTGTTAAGTCTAAAATGTTTCCATAGATCATTTGAAATTGTATTGCATATTTAAGATATAAACTTATGATGCCAATTCTATTATGCATTTTCTATGCTCAATACACAAGTTGAAAATTGTTTTGTTCTTGAAGGAATATGGGCATTTAACTCAGTCAAATATGCAAGTTTAATCAAAACCTATGAAGCCCGGACACCGTAAACACGACACTTACACTAACACGAGACACCGGTAATAATTTAAAATAATGAATAAATTAAACATAATCACAAGTGTCGTTGTCGGTTACGGACACCGATACTAACATAGACACCTTTTTTTAGAGGTGTGAGTGCTACACAGATCAAAACGTCAATCAAATGTACGTAATAAACAGTTTTTCTCTTTCCTTTATCTTTCATTTGACACTTTCTTTCATGAAACTATATATGCACACTTCAGTCCATTCAGAATCATCATCTAACAGATATTTTAAAGCTATATATAAGCAACTCGAGTAACAACATTCAATCAAAAAAGAAAGTGGCAAGTAACAACATGTCAAATTGCACATTAAAATCAAATAGCATTGGGAAGTAGGAAGTTCAAACAATCAATTAAAGCCATTTTTCCATAATGTGATTGAGATTAAATATTCTGCAATTACAAGTCAATCTTATGTACCATGACATTCTCTATGACCTCAAACCTAATATCATATCATCAATTCATCACCCAAGAAGAACAAAAACCTAAGACTAGTGCAATCAGGATTCATTATTCTCCTTCTTCATGAAATGAAACCCCATAACACCCCTATATTCTCCACTTCCAAGGCACCGTGAGCAGTACGTAAGCCCACTTCCGCCACACGTCTTACACCAACTCGGCCATTCACCTTTCGGAAGCATTTCCATATCAGCCCGATTTGTCCTTCCTCTTCCCTGACAACAATGGCAATCCACTCTTCCACTCCCCTCGCATACCACACAAGGTGGATCCGGCTTCTTTCGTACTTTCCTCCGAACATTCGACTCGGTCCTCACAACCCATGATATCTTCCTGATCGAGAGATGAGGCAATGACGAATTGCGTGATCTATATGCCGGAAAACCGTTAAAATTTTCCGCCTCGTTTCGCACCGGTGTTAATAAACTCAAAGCCACAGCAAAACCCATAAAGTAAATGCAATCTGAAACAAACAAAAGGGTACCTACTCACTGAGGACTTTCAACAAACAGTTTCCTTACCTATTGATCAGTGATTCGAAACACCAGTTTTAGGGTACAAACCTTCCTAATAACATGGAAATAAATTTGAAAACCAAGATATGATTTTTAAGTAAATTCATGGAATCAAGATAGTGAAATTCACGAAGCTACAATTCAACTCAGAGCATAAATGAAGTATTTGGGTATGAGAATTTGATTACCAGGTGGAGCTGAAGAAGAGGAGAGAGTGAATTTTCTCGTTCCCACTTTCCGTTTCCGACACAATTCTGCTATGGGATTGTATTTTTATTTCTCTTCTCGATTTTATCTTTTCGATAGAAATGTTTCTGGAAAATGTGTATTTAAAATTTTTTAAAATTTAAAATTGGTTTTTAATAATTTTTATACCTTATAAAAAAAGTGGTTTTTATAAATTAAAAAAAAAAATCTTTTACATATATAACATGTGCTCTTATATTTTCAAATATATTACTCCCTCTCTTAATTATAATTGGAATTTTGTTTATTTCCTAATAAAAAAAATTCTACAAATTTATAATCATATTTATTGTTATGTTTTGAGGGTGGTATAACATAAAAACAAATATAATTAGCTATAAAATTTGTAGAATTATATATTAATTCCTCTCATGCTTTAGTAAGAAACAAGAACTTGTTTTCGTTTAGTCTCTTGGCATGTCCCACCTTAGCTATATCATTTTTATACCGAAGTTGAAGCTTGTGAAGGAGAACCTTTTGTAAGTGGAAACTCAGAGATTGTCAGTTTCATAGATAAATTTCTCATGTAATTGGTAATGTGGTGGTATGCGCTAGAAACAAAGAGCCGTGAAGGTGGAGATGAGTGAGAGCCACTAGTTGTGCGACATGTGAAGTAAGATGGTGAGGCTTGTTTAGGTATACATGAATCTTGCAACATTGTTTTACTGAGTGGCTAGGATTTTCACAATATTTACATATTAGAACATGGATTGATATTGGCTTATTAATGTTGGGAAGAGTGCAATCATAACCATTATAGTTATTGCGACTTGGAAAGTCATGGTTGTAGCGATGATTGTTGTGGACAGTGTGAGGGTCATACAACACTTCTTTCTGCATTGTAGTTTCACCAGTAACAGTAGTAGCAAAAGGCACTTCTTTCTGCATGTAATAAAGCCTTTAAGGTCATGAGATATGAGAAGGGTGTTGCACTATTTGTACCAGGCAGGATAGTTGGTTCCATTTAACTTAATTGGAAGGTGAAAATTTGTATTGAATTCCATAAGTTCTTTTAGGTCATTGGAGTTAGAGTTGTTGTTTGATTCTGCCATGATAAGGATAACCAAATTTTGTAAACTGATACCATATAGAAAATAAATAATGTGTATATTTTATTGTTATTCTATATTATAATATATTAAATTAATAAAACCACTATATTATTAATTATAATATATTAAATTAATAAAACCACTATATTATTAATTAAAAATATTCTTCTATATCATTTTACATTATCAATTATTAATATTGTCAATTTATCAAACAATTTAACTAATTTATCATTGATTCATCATCAATTATAAATTATGAGGCAGTATAAACTATCAGTGTACTAGTCATCAATTATCAGATAACTTATAGCTATTATTAAATTCATTGTCTAACGGTGGTGTTTATGGTGGCCCTCCCTCATCTATCATAACTATGACGTATGAGTTCCTATACAAACTCAATAACAAAAGATAAATTATTTCTACTACTTACACCCCCAAACTCAGCATCCTAGTTACATACTATGATACAATATTTTCTATTATCAAAATTACTTTTCCAATATATATTTTGACAGATTTGAGTGTATGAATTGAAAACTCTCATTATCTTTCACACACACAAAACTTGTTAAGTGCATTAAGACCACTCACTTGAATAACTCCACTAACTTTCATTTAATTTACTTTAATTTAAATTTTTCAATTAATATTTCTGAACGTGGTCGTGGATCATGCAAGTCCACAATTTATTTTAAAAATAAAAATTAAATTAGTTTATGAAAAAAAAATAGAATGAGTTGAAAGATTAGGGTTTGACTTCCACTAGAAGTAATTATGAGAGTTCTAGTGGCATCTTGAACATCAACTAATTTGTGGTCTCCATTGGATCACACAACTCACATAACATCAATTAGTTGTTTATAGAAACTCATTAAGAAAAGTTGTTGCAATTGTTAAGTTTTTTTTGGTCAACTAGTTGACTTGTAGAATTATAAAACATTACATACAAATTACTTGGCTTAAATTGTACCTCAAAAATTCGGGGTAAAAAATGAGACGGAACAAAACAGATATAATAAAGAGTGTTTGACTAAAATTTTGATCAATCATAAAAAAAACAAATATATCTAACTTGCCGAACCCGTTTTTTGACTCATATTTATAATCAGATATTTATATAATTATCAGAACATCTAAAAATGATTTTAAAACATATATTTTTAAAAAGGAAACATTATTCACATTGTTAATTAAACGTGCAATTTTATCTACATGTTGGTTTTCCACTAGTTGATAAGGCTTTATGTAGTGGACCAATAGTACTCATTGACATTTCACCACCACAAAGGCATGCACCACATTTTGACTCTACATTTGTGGAAACCCAAAAACTTTGCAATATTTTAATTTATTATTGAATCTATCTTCTCACAAACAACTCATTTCTATCTATAAAATTTGATTGAGATTAAATTTGAAATACAAATGACTTTTAACTATTTAGCTTATGAACTTTGTAATCCAAAATCTAACCTAATCATTGATCTCTCCACCCAAGTATGATAAGATAAGTACCTAAATTCTTTTGTCAAAAGCTTCAAGGGATCTACAAGGACCCTTCCAAGTTGTAGCAAGAAATGAATTGTACAAAAAGCTACTAAAATACCTTATAAATTCCTTCTCCTCTTTCCACAAAACTAACTTATCAAATTCATGTACCAAAAAAAAGAAGAAAAACATATATGTCTCACAAAAGAAAGAATATTAGTCATCTCAATTTCAGTTAATTTAACTTTAATCGATACTGATGTAAAAATTATTTTAATAAAATAATTTATAATTTTTTTTAAATATTAAATATAATTATAAAATTCAACTCACTGAAATTTTATCTGAGACGAAACTTAAATAAGAAGTTAAAAGAAAAGTAATCAAAATTTAAAAAAAAAATTAAAGAGACTTTAGTTGCAATTAGGCAACTTTTCCATCAAGTTGGACATAATGGTCCCTACATTAGATTAATGGGAAGAGAAAATGTTACAACTTCTTTTCTTTTAATAACAAACAAAAAAAAATGCACTAACAAACTTTATGTGATAAATACAAGCACTACCTAGAAGAGCCTTATATTAATACCCTAAGATAAAGAATTGGTACTTCCATCTTCCATCTTCAAAAAAAAAAAATCCCTTGTCTTGTTTCAAGAAACCAAAATCTTAGTATGTGGCCTCTTTTGAGAAACCTTAACAACACAAGAAAGAGTTCAAAGGTTGCTGATGAAAACATGTTCCAACAAGGAAACAATGTTGTTGAGGGAAGAGGAATAAGAAGACAACATCATGGTTGGGGGAATATAGTGTTTAGTATTCTTCAAGCTCCAATTTCAATACTATCTTGTGTTTCTCATCCTCAAGTTAATGGTTCTGATGGTGTTTGGGTAAGTGGGGGTGAATTTTCACAAATTTCTGAAATGAATCATCTTATGGTAAATGATAGCATGAGATATGCAATTTTGATGTAAATAACAATTGTTGTTGGGTTTTTTCATTTTTGCTTTTTTTTTTTCTTTTCATTTTAGTTTAGGAGATTGAGTTGATCTATCAAGGTTATGCCCTAGTCTTATCTTTTGTTTTGATCAATGTAAATTTTTTTATGTCATTTTTAATAAATAGGTATGTATATTTGGATAGAGATGAAAATATTAATGAAATTTCCATGTTCCTTTTCTCTATGTTATTTCTTTATATTTTTTTTAAAGAATGTTTTTGAAATTCTTTGTAATGGAACTATAACAACTATTAAATTTATAATTGTGAAATTTTGAATTTTAATTTAATAATGTTATTTATCATTTATTTATTTATACAAAGATAAATAATAAATATTATTGCTAATTTTAATATGTTTATTTATTTAACACTTTTAATAATTTGTTACTTTATTTTATTTCTTTCTTTTAAATATATATGTAAAAAATTATAAAAATATCATTTGCTAATGTGCTTTAAATTTTAAAAATAATAAGAGAATTTGAGTACGACTTATATGATTTTCTAATTAAAAACCAGTTAAATTTTGGGAGATTCTAATTCAATAAAAAAATAAAGATTATATTTAACAATGATAATATTTTATTAGATCTTATTTAATTATAATTTAATTATAATAAATTTTAAATTTATACAATAGACGTTCATCTTAATTGTCTTTAAAGACGACTTAATTATTAGTAATTTATGTTTAAATAAAATATACTAAAAAAAATCGTGTATTCGATCAATTTTTGTGTTTAAGGGAGACAAATTGATAAACTATTATTTAAAACTTTGAGCCATTATTATGAGACTAAATCCATAGTTTAGAGGTTAATTACATTTGCAACTCCAATTATTTTCAAAAGGGTGTTTTATAAAATTATTTTTTGTTTACTAGAAATGAGATTAGTTTATTAGGTAGACATGTGAGCTACAACTTGCATTGGAATAATCTACAAGTTTTATTTTTCTCTCATTATTAATTTGACCAAAATAATTGACTATTAAGACCTAATTAGTCTTTTATATAAAAGTTTTGTTGATAAAGAAGACAATTATGTTAAAGGGGTTTGTTTGTGCTGTTTACAACAATGATACCAACTTGCCAAGTTGAGAGAAACCTCATTAGAATGCGGCAGAAGAAAATGACTAAAATAGGAAATGGGTAGCAATAATTCAACTTATTTTCACTTTAATTAGCTAGTGTTACTATGTTAATTAAGGATATAAAGTACTAGCATGAAAAGATTCTCCCTTTGTTGCATGTGCTTTTGATTTGATTTTATTCTAATAAGTTATTCAAATCACATGATTTTCTATTACTCAACATTTATTCTAATTATAAGGGGGTAAACACAAGTCAAGATCGTGTGTTATATTTTGGGAAGAGTAATGCTATTTAGTACGAAATATCTTAAAGAAGAAATGTAAGAATGTACACATGTTATTATTTTAAAGGTAAATTTTAAATTGATTTTAAATTTAATTTTCTTTTTAATATGGGATACACTTGTGCGGTGTTATGGTGGCGATACATCAGTGAAAAAAAGATAAAGTTATAGTCCTTACGCATGCAATACAAGAATCTCAGCATGAAGAACAATGAGAAGGTGCTTGAATACATCTCCAGAGTGATTGCGGTCACAAATGAGATGAAGTCTTTGAAGGTGAGGAAAATACACAAGAAGAGGGTTAAATTGTGTTCACTAAAAACGTTTCTGCTTCTGAACAGAGTTCAGAACCTGATAACAAGTGTTGCGGAAAATATATCAGAAGTAAACCAAACAGAACAATGAACACATCAAATTTATCCTAGATCCTCCCAAACTGAGAGTAATCCAATCTCTTTGCAGCGCAAGAGATTTTTCACTATAACTAACTCATGACTACAACTACTTATGCACTTAAGCACAAGACGTTTACTACTTAGCCTAAGATTTCTTTGCTCAATCATCACCTAATCAAGACTTCTCTACTTAGAACCTCAGATCCTAAGACTTCCCTTGTTTAAGCCCTTCTAGTTCAAGACTTCATCACTTAGACCCACTGTATAAGATTTCTTTGTTCAGATCCTCGATCCAAGACTTCACTGCTCAGACGCACCGTCTAAGTCTTCTTTCCTCAGATTCTCAATCCAAGACTTCACTTGCTTAGTCAAAACAGAACAAGACTTACAATGTTAAAGCACATAGCAAGAGACTTACTTGGCTCAAACTTTTCAACTAGAGACTTTTATGCTCAAGCACTTAGCAAGAGATTGATCTAAACTACTAAACGACATGTTCAGTAGAATAGAGAACAAGTTGTACTTGATATTAAGATCAGATGTATAGGGTAACCACCTTAGCAAAGACCTAAAACTCTTAAGATTTCTAAGATATTCAATGTTTAAGAAATATTAAGACTTTTACATTTACAACCTACAATAGAAATTCTGCGTAACCAATTGTGATGATAATTGATGATCTTGTTACTCCTCCATCAAGTTAATCCTTGTTGAAGATTCAGTTTGAACCTTCAGCTACTTATATAGCATTTGCAGAAGACTAGCCGTTGGAGAGATAACTTGATCAAGTTTTATGTTTTTTCCATAGTGCAAGAGACATTAAAGATAAATACACCAAAAGACATTGATCTATTGTGTAACATATTTAACCATTGAGTCTTACAAGAGATCATGTACTATAGAGTAGTTGAGAGTAGATACTCGTAAAACATGCTAACTTTTCTTAAGCCTTGTGAACTAAGACTCTAACTGACAAACTGATTTGACAATGCAGCTTAGTTTTTACAGTATAAATAGCTTCAACTTTATCACTAACTTTGAATGATCAACATAAGCAAATTTACATTCACCAAGTGTAGAGACAATTATGTTGCTTCTTTTGATGCTGATACCTTTAGCTTCAGAGTCTACGCCATACATCATTTAGAGAATGTTCTTCAGATTTTGTACCACCAGAAACTAGCAATTCAGCTTCTCTCAAGTGTTCCCTTGTATATCAGATTTTGAATATATATATATATATTTATAATTATTAGAACCTAAATACATGAAACACACATCAAATATAACAATTGTTCTTTTAATACTTTGTTATCATCAAAACCTAAGAAGTATATGTCATTAACAAATCATGTTCTAACAATCTCCCCCTTTTTGATGATGACATATATAAGTATTTAAAGAACAATGTTTGGCCTATTTTAATTTTTCTTATACAACATCAGAGCATGAGGTTTCTAAGTTATCTCTGAGTCTGATAAATCAAAGGTTGAGTTTGTAATCCCCCATAAGATCTACTTCTAAGAAATCTTAAAATATATTTTAATTTTCTCAGCAACGTCAGGGTACGAGGTTTGTAAGTTCCCTCTGAGTCTAATAATCCAAAGTTGAGTTTTGTAAACCCACCCTAAGTACTACTTTCAAGAAAATTATAATTTTAACTTTCTTAGAAACATCAAAATGCGATGTTTGTAAGCTTCTTCTGAGTCTAATAGGCTAAGGTTGAGGTTTGTAAGCTCCTTCTTAGCTCTATATTTAAGAAAAGTTAAAATTAATTACTCAGGCAAGATAACTATAATAATAGTAGATATATAAAATTAAATGAACAACATTAACATTGTTTGAGTGAGCAGCAACATTGAATCTGAAGGGTATAAATTCTTATTGAAATACTTCTACATTTTCTACCCCTTTTGTCACATCAAAAAGATTTAAAAACAAAAGAAAGGACAATTAAAGCAAACAAAAATTAGAAGTGTACAATCCCGAGATGGTCAAAGATACTTTATAGGATTTATAGTAGTTAGAGTCAAGTAAATACAGTATCTTAAGATGGTCAAAGATCATTAAATGTTGGTTCGCGGATGTACTTAAATGAATACTTAAAGCACTATATAAAACCAAATCAACATAGAGTCCTAAAAAATGCATCTAGTTCTTCAGAAATTCTTCACGCAAAAGATAGTTATAAAGAGAAAGTCTCTTAACGCATGCTTCATAAGAGTGAGAGACGTGATATTGCAATAGAGTTTGAATTACTAAAGAAGGCTGAAGCAGAAAGAGAGAGACGTTTGGTAATCAAGGAACTTTATACACAACTTCTTGCAGATACGGAAAGTGAGAGCCAAAAACTAAATGAAGAGAAAAACGTCCGAACCAGATTGGCTACCTACAGAGCATAGACTTCTGGATCAAAAGAGCACATAAATGCTTCTGAAGATCCTTCTTCTGAAGATGAGGAAGCAGAACAATACTAGAGGAAATATGTTTGTAACACTGAGAAAGATGTCTGAAGCAATAAATAAGACTAGGAATAGACTTAAATTATTTTATTGTCTTATCTTTTCTCATGTAATTTTTATATTCCAATGAAGTTTCCCTTATTCAGTTTATATGTGCAGTTTAACCAGCAAAAGCAAGTTTCATTTAAATTTTAAATTGTCACAAAAACATATAAAAAGTAAGAGCATTTAAATGCACAGAAACATAATAAGTTCACAAGTATATAACATACAAAAATCCATAAACAGGTCAGCAAAACACATAAACGGATTCTACATCTTAGACTTAAGGTTTCTTCAATAATTCCATGACTATGTTAAGATCGGAACCAATTTCTTCTTGCTTCTCAACCACAGACTTGAATTTAGTATCCACTAAAAGTTGGTCAACTACAGTAACTTTAGCTTCAAGATTGAGCAGTTGCTTCTGGCTAGTTTCAGCTACTTCCTTTGTTGAAAAATTCTTCAGATATTCAATAACCAAGTTGAAAGATCTTTTGAAGCTTTCCCATTTTGCATCATAAGCCGCATAATCAGTGGATGTGAATCCTTCTTCCACAAGTGATTTTGCCTCATTAAATAACCTAGTCTTAAAAACATCTAACTGAGAAAGTACATGGTTGGGAAGAGGCTGATGGCTAGTTATGTGCTAAGATGGTTTGAATGTGTTTGTTTCATTTTTCTGGGTTTCATGAATGGA